ACAGCCTTACTACCAGAGAGTCGACTCTTGCCACGATCCGATATTCAAGACGTGGGTCTCGTACATGAATGCGTTTGTCTCTAAAAATTCTGGCAAATCGGACGAGCTGTTTTCGGAATTAAGTAGCGTCTTCGAGGGCGTGGCTTTTTCTCGGATTCTTACAGTAGCCACTAAGTTCCCTAATCTGGAGAGTACTGCAACCAAGCTGCGGTATGAGAAGGCTTCGACAATTTTTGCTAGCAAAGAATCGCCGGAGAAGATATTCCAGCTACTAGCACTTGACGATGTCGGGAAGAAATTACTCAGCGACACTGTTCCACAAGTGGATGCGTTACCAGGCCAGTTTTAACAAGGCCAATCCGAGGCATCAAGAGTCGTGATTTAGTACGCTCCGTGTTAATTACAACTGGGGTGGAATAGAGAGAATTATCGAGACAGGAAGACAGAATCCAAGTACAAGAGAGATGGCTGAAAAAGTGGAGGATGCGTTTCACAACTACTGGCTGACTACTAAGACGACGCCTAAGGTAGCCTTACGCTTCCTGTATCTCCACGAGATTGGTGAAAAAACTCTCGTTAACCCAAAATTCAGCACGTGGGTAAAGTACCTGGATAACTTCAACGATCGATACCCTGGATAGAAGACAGCAGTGATCGACGGTCTCCAGGCTCACGACGGGAACAGAGCTCTACTCCAGATGTTTAACGCTGCGAAGGAAGATCCCAGCACGAAGAAACTCGTCACTGATCTACAGAGTGCTCTAATCCTCAAGTGGCGAGATGCGAAGCAGACACCAGTATGCTCGATGGCGTGCCAAACTCCCGTGAAATGATTGATCGATACACCACGCTAATATCGGGGACGAGAACAACCACTTAATCAATTCCACTGAAGCGGCTAACAAATGTGATTATTGTTGATCATAATTGCGTAATGTGCGTCCTTGGAATGGAGCCACAAATGTGCCCACCGCTTTAACAGGTATCGTTTTTTTAGCGGTGCACTTCTTTTTCTTTTACAATATAGGTCTCGTCATATTCATTTCCTTACGGTCGGATGACTGTGGCCATCGATGCAGGAAATTGAATGGTACTGTGAACCTCAGCACACTGTCCTTCGTTTCAAATATACACTCACACCTCTCTAACTGAGCCTCTGTAAGTGACAATTGACTCTTTATTTTACTACCAAAGGTCCCAACAAAGCTGACTATATGAGTTTTACTATACTGCATTACGTAACTTACTGTTGGGGCTGCCGCACTTGCTGTCTATATGGATAGCTGTTCCCATACAATGTAGGAATCAATCACACTTAGCGCGCATTTCCGAACGTAACGGCCCTCAATTGCGGGTCAACACGTACTATGACCCCGGCAACTCAAACGGCTACGCTAATGCTAGAAGAGAGGCTTCAGATATGCTTGAAAACGCAGCGCCACCCCCCGCACGATGGACGCTGAGATGGGCTCTTACTACGTTTGAAAAAGACTGCCAGTATGAGTACAATCCGATGTATTCGCAACAAGCAGCTACCGTCTTACCCCGCACAAAGCGCCCAGGCGTACTAAAAAAAATTATGATGTGGTTTAGAACAGTGTGTAACCTCGATTTGTAACGGGGTACGTATCCTTAAGTGTACCCTGATTACATGAAGTGTGACACGTCATACTTCGGGATATTTGGTACAAAGTACCAAGGTCGTCCAAAGCCAACCATTGGTTAATGACATTGCATTTCTATAAATGACTTATAGTTTGTATTAAACCCAAGCTTTATCTACCTATAAATCTACTCAGTTTACATTATACCTTAATCAGGTCACTTCGCTCTCTTTTGAATAAAGAGGGGACCTGGGAACTGCCGTTCACTGAGAGTTTGTATACTCTCGAAAGATAACTTCCTCTGGCGCAAGGTGCTGTGTGACCCCGTCACACTTGGTAGCACTCGTAGTCAATCCACGCCACCGCGGGTAGACTACCTGAACCTCTCCGAAGTTCGTTGCCATGGATAGGAACGACTTCTCCCATATGAACGACTCTCAGTTCGAGTCGGTTCGGAAGATGGCAGGCATCTTCGGGATGGAGGCCCTGCAGAGCCTGGTGGTGTCAACACCAGCCGAGCAGCTCGAGCGCGTCAATGCGTTCGACGCGTACGAGCAGGGCCTCATCGCGCATGTGCGGGAGAACCTGCAGGCTCCGGCGGCGGAAGCAAATCTGCCTCACCCGAAGCCAATACGGCTGAAGGTTAAGCCGTATGAGGGGAAGGAAGGCGAGAACCTTCACTTCTGGGTCCGAGGAGTAGAGCTCGCGATGGACGCGGCTCTGATCTCGACCGAGCAACTTCGTCTTGCTTTTGCACTCTCCAACCTTAGTGGCCGTGCTAAGAGTTGGGTGTACACACGGGAAGCAACATCCCCTGGATGTTTCACATCCTGGGATCAGCTGTGCGAGCAGCTCCGAGCCGTGTTCCTCCCGGCGAACTGCGAGTACCGCCAGCGTTCGCGCTTCCTCTCGTGTAAGCAAGGGAGGCGTGAACTGCACGAGTACGTGCAAGGGATATGGGAGCTCACGGCGTCCCTAGTGGGGAAGAA